TCACCAAATGAAACGTCTTGCACAAATTAGGTAAGTAATATGGAAAAATGATCATATTTATTAAAAATTCCGTACAACCTGTGTATGGCAGGAACACTGATCTTTTCTACTGCTTCTTACAATAGTTAGCCAGCTTCAGTCTTCTCTACTGGTCATTTGAGATCATTATCATCAATACAAAGTACAGTTATGAGTCTGAACAAACAAAATAGACTATTACAGAAAAAAGTAAAAGTCATGCCCATATTATAAATACAACAGAGTATCCTCTGAGAACCTTGAGATTAACTGAATGTTCCCAGGTCCCCTCAAGACTCTTGGAAATACTGGGCAACATGAAAGGCTTAACATTGCATAGCCTAYACAGAGCTATCCCCCATGCACATAAACACACCTCACGCATGTGAAAGTGGATGGAAGATATACGATAGGATTATTTGTAAAATGATACTTGGTTCCATAACTTGGATGTTATTTTTCCAGCTGCATGTTATTTTATTCCATGATCCTCTGAGCCCAAAGAGGAAACTAGAGTATAGAAATAAAGTAAGCCTAAAAAAAATGCAATTGCACAGATTCTGCTCACAAGAAAAGTAAAATGAGACTGACAATTTTCCTCATCAAATTACCCCTTAAGATTTGCTTGACTACATATCCTGAGTTAACTTTTAAGATCTTTTTTGGGGGAAGATCTTTCTGAAAACAAAATACTACTAGACGTGATGGGAAGCTCCTGAACTTCCAGAATTGCAGCAGGGAACATTTGACCTTAACAGACCCATAACTGTGATGTTTTCACTAGGGAAAAAAAACACTAAACAGTGTCTACAATAAAACTGTCTTACAACAGCAATGTGGAATTTTAAACAAAATATGTCAAGAGTAATTAAAATCAGAAAAATGAGCAAGTCTCAGTTAACATTACAACAGAAACAACCTCTACCAAAAAAAGAAACAAAATAAATATTTCAGAGACAGTAAGTACCTGGTTTAAGGAAATTTTCAACTTTACAGTTTGTGCAAATATGTCTATCCTTTATTTCTCTGAAATTTGACCTGTACACCTCCATCATCAACATGTTAAGATAGACACCTCACCATGTGAGAAATTTGGATGGGAATTTCCTTGTATTGTATTTTGACAATAGTGAAGAATTCATCTAAATACATGGGAGCATAAAGCTATTTTCCTCAAAAAAAAAAAAAAAATCAATAATACTAAATAAATTTTAAACTGCCTTTTACCTCCTAAGACTTCATAGCAGCCTTACTACATATGGGGCAAGTCCCTCTTCCTCTTTGAAAACGAATGGTCAGAAAAATCAAAAAAATACAGGAAGAGGCAAACTGTTCTCTCTTTGAAATTATGAAATTGTCTTAAGAGGCTCAGTGAGCCAATGTACACCTTCAAGAATAAGGGTTGGAACAAGCAGTTATTGCTGCATAAGTGGTTTGTGGTTTATTCTCTTCAGACTTTCAGAGCCTTCTCCTTTCCCATGCCTTTTTTTTTTTTTTTTTTCCTACATTTACTTTCCACTAGCAAGTCAATGAGTCAATGGAAATAGAGTCTCTTTCTTGTGTTTGCTGCTAAGGTGGTGTAGAGCAGAAGCACAGAACACGGCAATTGCCAAAGACAGTCAACCAAAAAAAAAAAAAAAATCAAATTAAAAAAAAAAAATCAAATCACTACATTGAGTTTATAAAATTACATCATTAAAAGACCAACCCCATTGGGCTTTCCTATAGAGCACTATTGCCTTTCCTATGGAGCATTGTTGCCTTGAGGGTGTTAATGGGCCATGATTGCCTGACCAGCCCCACCTGGGTGCTCCCTCTCCCCGCCCACCTCTGGGCCTATTTTAGCCCAGCCTTGGGCCCCAGCCCTGGTTTGGGCTGTGCTGCAGGTGCTCTGCCTTGATTGTTGCTTCTGGACCTGCCCCWGGTGCTTCTTCCCTTGCCTCTTGGGTGGCTGGCGGGACCGTGCTGGKGGTGAGCTCCCTGCCCTCAGCACAGCCTTCAGTGCCTGCTTGCCAAGGCCCTCTCTTCCCGCGAGGTTTTCACTCTTCTTGGCTCCTTCCTTTCTCTTCATAGAGATAGAAATTCCCTGTCACTGCTGCCACCTCTATGGAAGAGCTCCAGCAAGTGAGAGTGGTGAGGGCAACTCCTGGTGTTTCAGGTGTGGAGCTGACACTTGCCACTGTCCCAACACARGTGGCAAGTTCACATCCTAAAGCAATCCCTATGCAGGGACACCTTCAGTGACTGGCCCTGAAGTGCCAAGTGCTTCCTTAACTTCATTTGTGTTCGCATGTTGYTGGCTTGTAAGACCTCAGGTTAAGGGTTTCAGGAAGTGTGGTTGAAGATTATAATAAAAGGAGAAGCTAATTAGGTGAGGTGTAAAAAAAGTGTAAATTAGTGTTTTGGAACATTTTTTATATGAGTTTGTTTATACTGTAGACAATATTAGTTGACAGCTTGAAGAGTACCACTGCTACTTATTTTGTGAAGCTTTTTTTGTGAGGAGCTAATGTCTGACTTCCTAAATAGGATCGCTCCTTCAAAAAAAAAAAAAGTCAAGTATAAGCAAAGTGGTTTTTTTCTGATGCTGAAGTTGATAAAACAATACAATGCAGATTTTATTTTTATTTTTCTGACTTCTGAGTACTATGACTACCCATGTGCTATTTGCCTTTTGGAAAGATTATGTATTTACCAGCATGAGGAACAGCCTTCTGCTGGTATCAGCATTCTGCAGTCATATGAGCAGCTCCCTGAATTTCTTAGCAGTGTGTGCTGAAGGCAGATTCCACATAAAGAAAAATGTTGACAAGTACAAGATGAAGTTATTGTTGATATCATCATTTTACTCACTCCAAAGCTTCAAAGGAAAAGTTGCGGCTCTGTTAATGATTTTTAAATGACTAAGGGGAAAAATAATCACATCTAACAAAATCTTATTTGTGTTCTGAATGGGGAAAATCCATCTCTTTAGATGTTTATTCCAAGATTGGGTTGATGACTGTACTTAGTATAAAAACTGAGAAAAAGCACCCAAAGCTGTGCAGTCTCYAGCACTTGATTTAATTCAAGATTCCACTGGAGATCTTCCAATCTTCTGTCTGGAAAATATGCTGGATATGTAGCTTTAAGATCTTTTTTCATTTGCTGTGTGTTTTGTTTGACTTGCATTTGCTGAAGTAGAACAAAATCATCCTAACACAATAAATGGCTTTAAGAAGTAATAAYGCCTAGATGTAATGAGGTGGAGAATCGTGCTGAATGCTCTGTAAGATCTTACATAGTCTGGTAGGTATCATGGAGAAAAAATAAGAGTCACAGGAGCAAATGCCTCTTCTGCTCAGACAAACTAGCTGAAAAGACTGAGGGATAAAACGTCCACGTTGTGAATGCAGATGGTTAATTAGARCAAAGGCAAAAGCATTTAGAAAGCAATATTGCAAATATTGTTTTCTTTTAATAATGGAAATGATAATTTTCCTAACGTTATTAATGAGATTGACTCAGAAATACTTTATGTGAGGGAGATGGGAAGATTTAGAAAGTAAGCAAAATATATTGTAGTTTTGAAACAGGAGTGTTAGACATAAAATTGTAAAATTGAGATGTTTCTGTAAACAGTTTTGAATACTTTCATGCAGTGGAGTTGATCTGCAGTGGTGTATGAATATCTGTGGAGTGTGTATGTTTATATATGTGACCAAAAGAGCTTAGCATTCTTCTTTTCAACCTTAGCAATTTCGTTTCTGCATATTCTGCAATGCTTGAGAGGTTGCACTTGAAAGTTTTTTGCCTGAAAGCACCCATTTAAAACTCTGCAATGTTTGTCCTGTTGAAAAAAGGAAAAGGATCCATGAGAAGCAGTGTTGTTGAACGTAATGATCCCACTAATCAGCCAGCCCTGACTGCAATTTTGTAGTGCATGGAAGAGCAAACAGTGCATTCCTGATGCAGCACTTCAGTTATGGTGTAGACCTTTCCTCATTCATTGGGGAGACCAAGCATGGATGTCAGTCCTGTGCACTGTCTTATATGCTCATACTTGTGGTATGTTGTGGTACTTCAAGGCACAGTCAAACTGTAAGATAACATCTGAAGTTCTTGCTGCGTTCCTCAGGGGGAAAATGGTTAAATGCTTCCTAGAGCTGCACAAGGAAAGCAGCTTATTTGAGCAGAGTGCCAAAAAAAAGTAAAAGGTGTGTGGAATAGAGAGTGCTGAGGTTTGAAATAGGAATTCTTCTGAAAGTGAATTCCCAACTCCTTGGCTGATCTTCCAAGAAAGCTGCAGCCTCAGATCAGTGCCTTGGAGCTGGCTGGACTTCTGATGAAAGCCTGGGAGGCGTGGGAGGCAATGTCCCCATTACTTCATTCCTCACTTGTTTTGAAATGTTTGCAGTTTGTCTTTGCCACCAGTGCTTCCCCTCCCTGTGCTGCATGTCAGCATGTGGAAAGCTGCTCTTAATTCCAATTTGAGGTAACCAAATCAAGGGGATGAAATGGGAAATTGAAAGACCTGTGGCTGGTGACTGCTGTCATGTAGCAAGCTAGCTCTGCCTCCCATCTCTAGAGCAGCAACTATCCAACAGGCAGCTAAAAACAGTGGGAAGCAACCTACGCTTGAGGAAACAACAGTGAGGCTGCAGCAGGTCTCAGAGCCATCTGAACCAGCCCGTCCTCAGCAAATTCCACTTAACCCTCCACTAGGTTCTTTCTTGGTGGCTACCATGGAATTAATAATTTTCTTTTAGGCTTACAAACTATGCCAAAACTAGGCCTTTACCTTTCCAAAATCTTGGATAAGTAGAGGTAGAACAGGACTTTTTCTACTGCTTGCACAGAGTTAGTACTTCTCTACCCTATTTTTGTTATCCATTTCATAAGCCAGGTTACTGAAAGAGCATGTGGTTGTTTGGATGTTTGTGGATGTAATTACAGTAATTTCTTCCAATTTTCTGATTTCACAGAGTAAATTCAGCTGGCCAAAGGATGAGAAGCAATTCCACCTGACAGAAAACCAACCCCCATCAAGTCACCAGATGTGACATCCAAAGAAGCTCTGTGAATATTCATCATGAATCTTTGAGGTACATCAGCAGTGCTTTGGAGCAAAAGGTACTAATGTCATAGCTTGACATACTTCCTGTTTTGTGAGGTCAGTAACCTTTCTGTAAAGGGCAAATGTTCACCTAAAATAAGCCTAACCCTTTCAGCCTGGCACTTACTGAAAATGAAAGACTATTTACAGCAGTTGTAGGAAGCTAGAAGTGTAAACAAGTGCCTAATGGTGTTTGTAGAAGCTCTGAAGCAAGTAGATGGGTGTCTAATAGGCAAAAGAGCTCTTATCAGTAGCACTTTGGACTCGCTATTATCTTTGAAATTTGACTGCTGAAAGCTATATACAATTTAGAAAATAGGAAAAAATCCACTTTTTATTTTAAAATATCATTAACATAATTGCATCATATTTACATTGTGTGTAAATAATGCTTTTAAATGTTAGCCCTTCTAGAGATTATCAAGAATGTATGTTTTCAAGAATATTTTAATTTCAGCTTTGTAGCATCTCTTTTTACAGCTGTTTTAAAAGAAACTTGAAAGTATCTTCACTGCTTTTAATATACCTCTGCAAATTCCCACAATGCTGCTTGAAACGGTTCATGGCTCTTAATTTATTACCTGTGGCAAGCTTCCAGTTCATCATATAAATGCTTCCTTTTTGAAACTGCAGCTTAAAAATCTGAGCAATATTCTGTTTGACATATTGACCAACCAATGACAAGTATGTTGTAATAGACATACTTAATTTGGTTCTTTTCACGTGACCCATACAGACCCATCTCTGAAGCTGGAAACCATTCACAAGTATATAATGTTTCTGAAAATCTGATATACTTATTTCCTATTTCTGCCGGCAGTGAAGAAGCCAAACTGATTACCTTCTGGCCTGCTGCAATCCTCCCTTAGCATAAGTGTACTCATAAGGAGAAGGCCTAGAAGATTGCTATTCAAGGCCTGTGAGTAATAATAATACTTTAATAAATAATACTTTATTCCAATCAAACCACCTGCAGAATATAAAGCAACTCATTGCAAGAATGATCTAGCTTTAAGTGTTGTGGTCACGTTTAAGACTTGTGTCTATTTTATAGAGAAGCAAGTTCCTTTTTTGATTTGATGCATSTTTTTTATTCTTAACATACTTTTTCTTCTAGATTAGTTTTCCAGAGGTCTTTCGATATTTCCTAAATTATATATGAAAGACCTCAAACACTGGAAATGCAGAATTTCTGAAGCACATTTGAGCATGTCATCTGAATTTCTTATGCAATCATAGGTATTTCAAATGCATGCCTGAAAAAGTCAAATGTTATWTTATTATGGAAACAAGATAGGACAAATGGAAAGAATGGAATTTTTTGATTCCTCAGGGATTCTTTTCATCCTGGAAATGAGATTTAATCCATGCTATTAGATCACCTGTCCCTGCAAGTAAACTCATAAGGTTTAAGCAATTAGTAATATAGAATGTAGACATTAAAATAAATGGAAAGAAAAATTTTTTAAAAAAGATTAAGGAAATGATGYAAAATAGTCTGAAATATGCCCGGTTTAGATTTTCTGCTCTGATCTTTTTGTTATTTTTATATGACCCCCTACTTAAATGTCTATGRCTCTGATGAAGAAAGGGCTTTTCTTGGCAATAAGATTTTACCKTTCCTTTACCCCCTTAAAAGCTCGTGAATATAACTATATTAGTAAAGCTTGATCTCATGACAGCTAACATATTTAAAATGATTTATCAAGTTCATTTCATTATCATATTTCATGTAATATTGGATGATATGCTAATTTAAATAAAAATTTGGTAACTACTTCAAAAAGCTGACAGGTCTAATGATGACTTTAGAAATCTTGTTACTGTAATAGAGACCTAATTCACATGCTGCATAAGAGCAAGTGGCCTCAGTTCTTCAGGGGAAAAGTAATCAAAAGATTGAAGTGCAATCTGCAAATCCAGCATATGTAAGGATCTAGGAATATTTATCATAGAAGCCTGGACAAGCCAATAAGTCACACTAAAAATTGATTTCAGAGCRAATTAATTATCATACATTTTAATTTTGTTGAAATAGAGGAAAATTATACATGTTTTAAATGGATGTTATTTAAAATGCTGCTTCTATCTGTCCTATTAATGGCTGCCTATTACATATCTCTGGATGATCCTTTGAAATTATTTTCATTGAAACTGGAAAATGTTCTCTTGAATTGAGGAAATGTTTTTAAAAAGGCATACCACCTTAATGAAGCTTTCTAAGGCAAATTTACCTCATGCAGTCGGGTAATGCTCATGTGTGTGTCTGCCTGTCTCCAGTTTATAACTGGTGAACTCATCAGTTTGAATCAAATCTAATGAGAGTAATAGCTGTGTTCCTGCAGGTCTCTTGGAAATAGATGGCAGGATAAAAAATGGAAAATATATGAAAATATATTGGTGCCCATGCGGRAGGAATGGTTTGTGTGTGACCTGAAGATAGTTTACCAATGAGAGAACTATGAATGTCCAGCAAATTTTATCCATTTTTATTCAAAAGCGAAGCCTAGGAAACCATGCTTTTCTTTTGCTTTAATATGTTTGTAATTGGCCCTAGATGAAAGTACTCCTGTCTGCTTTCCTTAAAGCACATACCTGCAGCTCAAAGTGGTCCAGCCCATGCTYGCTCTTGCTGTGGCCTTAGCTGGTGTGTGGGAGACGTGTGACACTATTGGTGCTGGTTGGTAGCGCCCAGTTGTGTGAGGTTSCCCAGAGGTTTCTTCTCACTGTTTGTGCAGAGCAGCACAACTGGTACAAATTAAATGTATAAATTTTGATGACTGGAAGACAGTAACTCACTTTGAGATTTTTTTCTCTGCTCTCCTGACTTCCCCTCTGACTGTGCATTTTGCTTCAAAGGCAGTAGTGTTGTGACTGATTTGCTTCCAGATGTTTGATTCAAAGCCTTTTCCTTCAGTGACTAGTACTACCTGACAAGACTTAAAAGAAGATCTTACTATGCCCTGAAAGCACTTAACTGACTTCCTGATTTTTTTCCTACAATCAAATGGATTATAGAATGCTTTCTTCAAAAACCGAGTTTTTCAACCCTATATTTATTTCTGGTCAAAAAATTAAATGTATACGCATCAATGAGATGAAGTACAGATGTAACAATTAACATTAAAACCCAACGGCCAATCAGACATGCAAGTCCACAGAAAAATTGGAGCAATTATTACCATATTGCAGTCTGAGTTTAAATATTATATATAAACACAGAATCTATACAAACATAGAGGTTACATTCTTATTCATGGAACTATATGGGTTTTTGTTCTTGGATACAACTTTTTGCATGGGATAGGGCTATGTCAGTGTGAAAAGATTCAATTTGAGAGCTAAATTTGGAAGGCTTGTAATAAGCATACTTAAAAAACTTCATATTATGACCATACATTATTTGTGCAGAGTCAGTAGAGCTATAAACCTACACATCTCTGACTTCTCCAGACTGAGATGAGGGAGTTCAATAATTCTGAGCAATCATGTTCACAAACTAAAGAGAATTCTTAAAGCAGGGAGGCCTTATAATCCATTGGTTCTCCTAGTACAATACCACAGCACTGARAATAGGAAGTGCTGTCTGTTTCTGGAAAAAAAAAAATCTGATAAATATTTAACTTACTAAATTCAATCTAGTTTCCTTTATGTAGTTCTGCAGTGCCTTCTTTGAAGCTATCCCAAAATCTATAATTTTATCTCTATATATGTCATTGGCTCTATTAAGCAAAGAGGACAAGTTTTATCAGTATTGAAAATCTTTAAGTCGTTACAAAGCATTAATGGAAAATGGGGTAGACTCCAGGAGCAGGCAGCACGGCCTCAGGAAGCATGAGGAGTCCTCTCTGTCAAGAAGAAGTCTGGAGTTGTTTCATTCTTTGGGACTCCTGTGGTCTATTCAGAAAATGGCAAACAGCTCATTACATCCTGCAAGCGTGAGGACAACTGCCTTCTGTGAAAACTAAGCTGAAGATGTGCTCAGACATGAGGGAGGGATCTTTTAATCTGTATTTATACAGCACTACCAGCCAGCACCATATGAGGGTGGTTGACTCTTTCCAGAACAGAGGTGGCAAGAAGCATAAAGGTCAGTACACCTCAGTTGCACTGGAAAAAGCTTCTATGTGCTCTTGCACCAGTTCTGYTACCTACACTGATCAATGCCTTTCTCATTACTGCAGTCTAAGCTATACAGCTCTTGTGGATTTAGGTTGTGTCTCATGAGAATCATCCTTCTACTGAGATGAGCTCAATGTCTTTATCAGYAGAACTGTTTTGCCTTACCTTACTCTTATCTATTTTCTATTTTACAGTCTCTTCCCATATCTGGAGTCTGAATCATGGACTGGTGAGTGAATTGGATTCTGTTTTTACCAAATCTTGTCATACTGTACTAGGGCCAAGTTGATGGGAAAATAGACAGAAATATAGAAATAGTGACAAAGATGAGTAGCAAATAAGCCAACTCTATGTTCCCATGTTTAAATTTCATCTATTTTTAAATGCCATCAACAAGAACATCATCTTTTATAACTTAAATATAAAGGCTTTTGTCAAGTCACCCGAAATGACTGAACAATGGTTTATTACCCAGAGAACTCTGTTCAAATATGATTTCTGCATAGAGATAATGAGGATACTTTCTGATATTTGGCAGTCTGCCCTCACAGTCCATTTATCACTAAAGGAAGTGGGTTAAGATCCTCAGCTAATATTAAGTATGTTCCCGCTCATGTTAATGTAGGTACACCAGTTGAAAATGCGATCAATGCTTTAATTGCAATTAAATGTGCAACAAGATCAAGTGAATTAGACTTTGCATGGGTAGAAAACTCTTAAATTGGCAAAGGAGTGTCTGAGTTCTATCTAAATCAGCCCGTTAACTTCTCAGTTTTCTTTCCAATATCTCACTCCAAGCTTCAGACATCAAGATATTTTTGAGATTTTTCTTGGATACCATGAAGGCATTTTAATTTTTTGTTTCCTTTGGGATCAACATAAGGGGAAATAGTCCCACTTGGCATCTGTCAAAGTATTTTCTCCTCAGAAGTCTGCAGGGCTGTTGCCCAAAAGTCTGTTCGCACATTTACACAGCTCTGCTCTCTTCCTGGCCTCCTAGACTAATGATTGATTTAGGGGACCAGCTCCATACTTTGTGCTTAATTAAAGCCTATGCTGTCCTCCTTTTCACCATATTGTCTTGGAAGTTCCAAAAATCTTTACACAGTATGTAACTGCTGTTGCAATTAAATTCTTCAATTCCGGCATCTGCTTTCTTACTATTAACCACAATTTTTTCACCTCTATAACAAAGCTTTCCAAATCCCTCCATGAACTTTTGTGCAGACATTTGACTACCGAGGCTTCCTAATGCTGCTTGTCTCAATTTTCAGAGTACAAAGAGCTTCAGTGCATTGGTGGTCCTCTCATTCCCAGGCACCCTTACAGCCCTACTGGTCATTCTGCTACTGCAGAAACCTTCTTTTCTGATTTTCCTCAGTATCTGGCTTCTCCATAACCAATTAAAATGCTTGCCAAGATTTCTAAGTAGTCACAGCCTTACTAGTCCCATGTTCTTGAAATTAGGTTGCTAATTCTTGCATTACCAGAACTCACAGGCTTAGCATTTTCCATAGGGACATRCTTGTGCTTACCGACACCTATTGCAATGCCAAGGGAGTGTTGATATTTGAGTGTTGGTTAACAAACAACTTCATAATCCTGATGTGAGTATGCTTAGGGGCAATCATTCTTAAGGAAAAATTTGTTAGCTAATAATCTTTTTCTCATCAGTAAGCAGTTTGTAAAGCTTTTCCCATTTGTGGCGTTAACAGGCCTTGATAAAATAAGTTTGATATAAAACAAGGCTTTAAAGGACTCTAAAATGCAATAACGATTCATAGTACTTCTGTATGAATATTTGGTATGTTTGAATATAGCTACGAATGTACTAATTATCAAAAGAAAAATTTAAGAATTGATTTTAAAATTTAAGTTTTAAGAATCAGATTTATAAGGATTCTACAGCAATTATCTAAGGCATCTTCAGATAGCTTATCACAGAACCTGAGTTTTCAGATGGAAACAAATATTTTTAACTGCAGATAAATATAACATTACATCTGCACAGTTTCCTGAAGCCCAGCTATTCCTATATACTCACAAATCCTAAATTCTTTATGTGCATCCAGTTATTTAGGGCACAAACTCACCTCCAAACCCTTATAAGTATATTTAACTTCAGAAATACTGATAGTCCAAAAAAGCTTTTGAGATGTTCAGTCATGTGTTTAAACATATAAGTAAGGACTAAAGCATAGAGGCCTGCCAAAATACGGTTCTAACTAAAAYAGAGATGAAGGTTAGTTAAAGATTACTTCAGGCTAAAACAACCACTCTTCAGAACGGAACTCCACAAAGAGGTCTTAAAATTCCTGTTTTAACATAAAACTGTATCACAGAATGACATTACAGTGCTTTCTGCACTTTACAGAATGCCACACGGAATAAGATCAGTGTAGCTTAATCCATTTTTCATCGACTTTTATCTTTGTGTTGCCTTTAGTCTCTCTCATGCCCTAAGAGGAGRAAAAGCTTTGTGTTCTGCTATCCCTTCTGCTTCAACTTCTCTAAAATGTGATTGCTGCTTAATGTAACAACAATAACAAAATAACAATACCAGACTTTAATACTGACAAATTCCAAATAGAGCAGGAACCTTTCTCCCCTAGCCAGGAAGCATCCCATATTGAAAAAGGAAGAAAGAATTCTTTAAAAACAAACAAGACTATATTATGTACTTTTTGGCCATTAATATTTTTAACTTGCCAATATAACACGTATTTTTAATTGCAAAAAGCACAGCTCACATGATTTGAAATATTTAAAACAGTAATGTAAGGACTTTATTTTTATTTCATGGCTCAAGTTAGACGGAATATCTGAAGTCTCAGAGGGTCTTAAATAGCAGAAGTTTATTTTAAATTAGCATAGATGTTTTTAGAAACAGAGTTTTTTTGTAGCTTTCACTGGCTTCTAGAAAGCCTTATCTATAAATCAGAAGGATTTAGTTGAGTGCTGAACAACGTTATMTTACACGTTCAATATAATTTGCTCTACTTGTATGTAGTCAAGTGTATCTATCAATTCAGTATATAGAAAGAATCTAGACTGAATTAAACTGCATTGTGAAAGCAAATATATAAATGAAACAATATAAAGAAATGCTTCTTAATTCCTCTGATTAGCTTTCCTTAGAACAATCTTTGCTGACAGWGGCTGAATTTCTATGTTCATGATGACTCTTTTTCAAAAGTAATGGCTAATTTCTTTTTCTGATTTAAGTAATCTGAAATTACCAGGCAAGTGTGAAGAATGATACGACTGAGGTTCCAGCTTCCCTGGGATTTTGCTTCTGTAGCTACTGTAATTAATAATTATGCAGTCATTAAGATTAAATGAAAGTGTCATGTTGCTGTTATTGTTAATGAAGTAGATTTTCACAAAGGTGACAATGTGCCTTGCTTACAGACCAGTGTGATGACAGTCATAATGCTTTTTTTTATGGTGACTGGTGTGGTCTGAATTTTCTATGTTCCTAGGAACGGCAGCAACATGTGTTTGAATCATCTGGATATATAATCAGAACATGAATGTAATTATACACACACTCTTCTGACTCTRTTGTAGAAATAGGGGCCATGTCCCTAGTGTGGCCTTATGCCAATTCCTTGGGAAATCAGAATTTGGGAAAGGGCTCATTTTATATTAGGGTCCTGCTGTGCTGTGTCATTAGAAACAGTTAAAGTCTCAAAAGTTAAAGAAAATCTGATTCTGWATTTTTATATCTGTAAAATTTTCTTATGTCTTATTTTGTCCTAAATTCACATATATTTACTATCCCTACCAGATGCGGTATATAGAAACAGGCATTGGCTTGAAGGTATGGAGGAATTGTAATACAGTAAATAATGTTCCTCAGGGTTGAAATGCCCRCCTCGTCATTGCACATTTATATTGAGATAATATTGAAGCCTTCAGTCAGCATCCAGTGATGTTGTATTTACTATAAATCAGGTTTTTGTCCCTTGACTTCCCTTAAGTCTGATTATGTAGTCCCATTTTGTCTTAAACTGCACAGTGATTATGAATCTATTTAATCTATTAATTATACCAATGCCTGTACTTACACTGCAAGTAAATTTTGCCTTTCCAGTRCCAACTACCTACTTCCTGAGCATCTGGTTGATTCATCTATAGCATTCAAAAAGTACCAATTGCCATGGCATAATTAAATTTCCCAATAAAGGCAGCATCTAAAGAATTAAGCTAGATAGCAAGGTAGAGAAGGTTACAGTTGGCCTAAACCTCCTTTAAGAATGCATGGTCAAAGYGCTAAGGAACCTAACCAGCCCATAAAGATGGATGGCTAAGAGCAGTTTAAGGAAATGAAGAAAATAAGGTTGAAGTTATTGGGGTGAAGGGGGTGTTGCTACTAAAAGGGAGCATAGTCTTGTTGGATGACATCAAGCTGGGACAACTGCTGTGGTCACCACCACGCTTGTGCATCCCTCACATTTGGTTTTGGTTTGTGTCAATAGGGTTGTAAACAAGGCAGCTTAGCAGTAATAGCCAGGTAAACCTGGCTTTAAGCTGCTTGTTTTGATGTAGTATTAAGGAAACAATGTTTTGCTTTGTAGCTCACACAGGAAGAAAAGTGTTTTGTAAAAACTGGCAGAATATGACGCAGTTTGTCACATCTACCAAACAGCTTCTTACTGCTTGAGAAATATAGGTAGATGTGAATATAGCTGCAAAAGCATCTAAAAGCAAGATGCCAATCTATGAGTCAAAAAAACTATCAATGTTATGAATAGACACATATTCATGCATTCATATACTGTATATCCATATAGCTGTGYCCATTTACAGCTGAGGGAATTGATTTTCAGCAACATTTGCAACATGTCTATCTGTTCCCCAGGCAGCAGCTTGGGGTTTCTTCAGACTCGTTCAATATTCTCCTTTGCAGTAAGATTGTCCTATTTGAGGTCACTAATGACTTTCCTATATAAGTCAAGTTTGCTCTTCCTGCTGCCCTTGTTTCATTTTGTTGAGTCTCTAATGAGATACTGCGAGTTCCTTCTCATGTTGAGAATTATTCCTCAGTCCTTAGATAATACTTATATGGGCATACACAGCTCTAATCTGTTACACAACTGTGACCATGTCATGTAAATGCAAACTTATCTCACAGCAGCAAATAATAAAAATAATCCCTTTAGGCCTTTCTGYTCCCCCAGTAATTCACACCTGCCTCACACCCAGATAATTTAATCTGCGGAGGCTTCAGGACTCTGTATATCATCCCTTTTCTTTACCATTTACCAGATAGCTAAAGTTATCTCCACCTCCTTCTGCCTGAGTCCCATGACCCACTTAATCCATTTAAATCCTATTTTTTTCATACTAAATCCTCAGCTTCAAGACCCTATGTACCACTCTTCATGTAACTATCTCTCTCCAGCACAAAAGTAGTGGGGTGTTTTGCTAAGCATCAGTAGAGCTAGTAAAGACAATTTGTTATTAGTCCTTTGTCTGCTGCTTATGATTCTACTCTAAGAKGGACTTTGTGCTTTTTCTTCTAACTCTGCCAGTCTACCCATTAGGTGAATTCCTTTGATCCTGAACCTCTAGAAAATCTGTTTATTTTAATAAGACATCTTGAACATAGACCCATATTTTTCAGGGGAACTATATCATCAAATCACTAATCTTCCCTCCTCTCTTCTAACTTCAGCTTCATTTATTTATATTACKTATTTCATTTTTCTTTTTCTTATTAGTCTTTTTGCATGATGAGATTGTTGTTTTGGGAAAAAATTAAAGTAACTCTTACTTTCCATCTAAATCTCCTTTAATCCTTTTGGACAACATATTCCATAGTCATAAACCAGCTGCTTTGTAAGCCAGTTCTTCATCTCTGCTCGCAGGTTTCAGCTGCCTGGTCTGTAAGAGGGTTACCAGGATTTCACAAAGATGAGGCACCCACAGAAAYAACTTGCACCCCAACTCGCTGAGCTTTCAAGACCGGGCCTGGATCTAGAGTTCTCAAAGAACGGAGAAAAGGTMGGATATTTTAAAGCGGGTGTTTAATAGTAGGGTTTTTTAGTAGCAAACAGTAAAGGATCTAGTAATGTATGAGCATCACAGCTCCTGAGTGCACGATGCTGATCAAAATGAGGGACAGAGACATCGAGGTTACTTTGGCATCTGTCTGCCTCTTTAGGAGAACGTTTTGTTACCTATAGGAAACAAAGGTACATGTGGAAGCTATTGTTAATATTGATGCTCTTATGTCTGATTGTGTTCACTGCAGCCACAGAGAGAAAATTCTTCCTGTGACTGCTAATTCTGTGGAGGGAAACTTTCTATTTTGTTCTGTATGGAGTGTTTGTAGCTCTTTATTCTTCTTTGTTGGTATTATTTACATCTGCAGACATTTCCCTTTGTAGAGCAGTGTATTAATTTCTAAAAGTAATGCCATTTGAAATGAGAAGTTAATCTCTCCTGTAGCAACCTTTCATCTTCATCTCTTATGTATAAGCTGAATTTGTGCAGTTTCCTTCGTCTTGTARACTCAAGGCATACAATTTTGCTGTGTGAGTACAGAAAAATGATTTAGCTGTTAGTAACAGTAATTTTATTATTAGGGAGGGTAGAACTAATTTTCAGTCTGTAAATCATTAATCTGGTCATTCTGGGGGAAAAAAGAATATGGGGAAGTTGGTTTGAGCTCTCTCTTCCCCTTTGCATCTACTTTTTTTCTGAATGTTTTTATCAAGTATATTTGAAAACTTTTTTRCTTTTTATTTCTTTTACAATATGAATTATTTTGATTTTTAACATCCACTAAATGGTATCTACTAGTCTTAGAGCTGGAAAAGAAAGGGAGATGCTTTTTCATCTGGAGAAAGTGAATGAACTTCTGCTTTTCAAAGGAGATCCATGATCCAACTAATTTTACCTCAGCAAGAAATGTAAATACTTCTTCTTCAATCAGAATTAATTTGTTGTTCTCAACTTATTTTCAAAGTTTAATAGCACATTTCTGGAAACATTTCAGCTTTCTCTTGCAGGTCTAGAAAACATAATCTAAAACAAATCGAAAAATATGATCTAAAAATTCTTCATCTCTTCTTTATGCACGTCCTGTGTTTAAAATTGTTAGAAAGGACTAATCAAGTAACTTCATAAATACATCAAAGCTCATTCAAAATCTTATACCTCTATCTTACTGATGGGAATTAGTCACGAGTTRTTTCATCCAACTAAGGCATATCAAAGATCTAAATTAATTGAACTAWTTTTTTCTGAGGGTCTACATTTGAAAGGTATCAATTGTTAAGAAAAAATAGAATTATGTTAATTATATGTATTTAGTAACTTTTGTAGCAAATACCAACATAATTCTGCAAGCCAGGGGCCTGACTTAACATGTAGAGSTCAGCACAGCTATGAAGGCTGCAGGAGGTCGTGCTCTACCTTCTTCCTTCCTCCCTTGGCCTGGGGATGACCTGGGACTGGCAATTTTGTCAAACGGACTCTTTGCTAGGATAAGGATTGCAGGATTTCATTTAAAAAGTGTGAATTCACAAATACCAGGACACAGTCTTGAGCTGGGATAAATAATATTGAGACAAAAATGAGTTAATTCCAGTGCTTCAGAATGACTCCTCATACAAATGCATGAATTGCCATAGGATTAGGGTTAAGAGCTTATAAGAACATAAACAGCAAAAAAGGCCTAACTACTTTTTGCCAAAACGCCATCCATTTTGAACCAAACTTTTGTTTAGACTGGGTGTTTTACAGTGATCCAGCAACACACGGGTCAAATTGTTAGATGAATTTACAGCTGTTTGTTTTCTTGAAGTGGTACAAAATATTTTGGTAAAGCTTGCTTTTAGCTTGAAGCATGACCACGCGTAAGGAAGGAGATGGGAAAGATTCCCTGTTCTTATTGTACCCATGGGGCACCAGCAGCAGATAAGGTTACACAACGCGCCCAGGATCATGGAGCAGGCTGGGACTGGCATTCAGGCACTGCTCCGTGGCACAAGCTGATGCAAACAGCATGATTACATGAGGACTATTTGGAACACAAGCTGTTTATGCACAGATATCCCCAATGCTTATAGCTTGTTTATTTCCCACATAAATCAAATGCTATTTTATGTTAGTTTTCACCAAGTTTATACAAGGTCTTGTTTCAGTGTAAATTCAGCTGTTATTGTGGCATTCTGATTATATATAAGTATTATTTCTTATTCTTAAGCATCTGATCAGYGTTCTTGTATGCATCCTGAGATTTGTACTGAATATATTTCTGGTCCAACTCACATAAAAGGTCACTTTTGTGATTTAGTTTTCTGGCTTATTGCGGATGGATTTCTTTCCACTCCACAGGCATTTTCATGCCATCATTTAGTGACATTTAAATTCTTTGCAGTTCGGCATACATTTTCATCCTAGAGAACTAGTTATCAACAGCAGCACCTGTTTCCCAGAATATTACATTTTATTGTTAATTTTGACTTGCCTCGTGTGCTGCCAACTGCTAATGAATGGAATGGTAACGCTATACTGTAATTCWTACTGCGCAAAGAGTGGGTATCACGTTCTCCACAGCAGGAGGAAGCTGAAGTATATCCCTTCTCCTGGATCTCCAGCAAGGTTCAAGGTTGGAATGACACAGGCTGGGCAGCCTATGGCACTCCAGAGCCCGGCATTAGCATGCACTTTGTCGGCTCTCAGAGCCACAGCTGTCGTTTTCTTTTGTTTAGCTGCCTAACAATTGCAATGTATTTTCCAGACACCCAGCTAAACATGTCCCATAAATAGTGGAGAACATATATACACACACACCCACCTTTGTAGGACTATGTAGTTGCATGGGGCTTTGGACAGGGGTGGGAAAAAAAAACATAGATGCAGAAAATCTTGAAAGCCTGGGATTCTGTGCAAGAGGCATAAAAGTGYCTCCTAGCACCGTGGTTAAATTCCGCATGCTATTCAGGCACCTAAGGTGGGAAGCTAGCACTCTTGTGTCAAGAAAAAAGGCTATTGCAGAAGCAATTCAGGGCATTTACCCCAGGTTCCTGCTGTGAATAGCCATCTGGAGAAGCCCTTTCCCTGACTGCAGTAGTGCTGAGTGATTGTGCTCCCTTGATTGTATCACAGTTGTAACTGCCTGTGATATAAAAGATGCACCAACCACCGGGTATTCATGTAATCATGGTATCTGTAATGCGGCTCCACGGATGGCTGCGCCTTCCCTTCTTGCTTACACTGCTCCTGGGCCAGGACTATGGGCCTGGCCTTCCTGCCCCAGCGCTGAGGAGGAGCAGGAGGCAGAGCCGCCAGCAGACTCGCTGCTTCTCCTTTCCATGGCTGGCTATCTGATGTCTTATCAGAAAGAGGGCGCAGATCCTGGCCCTTGTTTGCCAAGGAGCAGAAAACCGCTGCCTCTGCTGCAAAGCTCCGGGGTTGGAGTAGAGAGTGTTGTGCTGGCAAGTCTGCACCAACCTCGAAATTAGTGCTGTCAGCCTGGGCATGGGAGCAATTTCCTTTCCAGGAGAAATTAGAATACAGCTTTCCTCTCCCAGCCCACGGTTTTAAGCGCTGTGTTATAGTATCCAGGATCTTTTGTTTGACTTTGCTTCAGCCCAATTATTTTTGCTTCTCTGGCTCACAGAGGTTCAGTTTGTAATGGACGGGACAGAGAGGACTCCTAGCCAAATTACTGGGTAATGAGGAAGGCCTGAGGATGGAGAGCAATTACATTTCCTAGCTATATTCTTATGTAAAAGAGTACCACTGCCTTTGACAGTGGAAAGCTATGGTGGCGAGGGGAAGTGTCTGATGATTGGGAAAGACTGACATTATGCCCCTCTTTTAGGAAACCTGGGGGGTTCCATCTTCCCCACAGTCCCTGGAGCACTCATCAAGCACATCCTCTGGGAATACTTTTCTGATCATGTGAAGGACAAGGAAGTACTCTGGAAAGCGAGTTTTACTAGGGCTGTTGACTGTGATTAATGGTGGGGATGATCAGAGAACGGTGAATGTAACCTGGACTTGAGCACGGCTTTTGGCATCTCCTGCCCTGCTCTCACCTGGGAGCAGGGAAGCACAGGCTGGAGGGGCACCAGGGGTCAAACACTGGCGGCACCCTCGGGTTCAGAGTCATGACCATAGTTAGCATCTGTGTGGCAGCTGGTGCCTGGCGGAGGAGCCCCAACTCAGTCCTGGGAGCTGCTGGGTTTTAGCACTTCCATTTAGAGCACTGCCAGCCARCTGGCAGGTTTCTGGGCAGGCTTCTCCAGCGATGGGCAGCAGAGCAGCCCAGCAGAGAGGGGGACACAAACAAATTGAAACAGAAAGAAAGGACACAAACTGTCCAAGCATTCCCAGCGATGTCTGCAACAGCCCAAACCAGACAAGTGTCTATGGATGAGCGTGATTGCTCTGCTTGTGGTGACTTCAAGTATCACTCTTGTTTCCTTTGTCAATGGGTTTCCTCATCRTAACCGGTAATGTGCGTTTGTCCACCACTCAGCGCATTTCTATCTAAATAACATCACACTGAAATCTCTAGAGTTGGTAAACAAAAAGCTGTTAGGCAGCTAAATGACTTCCAACATCTTTTTGAGACGGTCAGAAAAGCCTATTAAGCAATTTTCAATAATTTAACAACTTAGATGTGGGCAGATTTCAGAATGCTAGGAGTTTTATGTGCAGTCTTTCTGCTTAAAGTTTCTTCTTGTTTTCTTACTGTCACCTAGTACTTAATTATTTTAGGCACAAAACTACACCTACAGTGGAAACCTTCCATGGTACTTTAAGCCAGACAGGAAATTTCTGTACATTTCATCTTTGTGTCTCTTTTAGGTCTTACCTATGGCAGTCTATAAGGCTGTGCCCAATTATATCAGGGTTGATTTGCTATCTAATATCAAGCTAAGTATACAAAGCCACAATATAGGCTTTCGCTCTTATCCTGATATTGCCTCATTAGCTACAACATTGCACAATTGTATCAGTAATATCTGACTCTTAGCTATAATAATTCACCAGAATGATGTCATCTGAGCTGTCATGTTATAAATAGGAGGTGCCTCAGTCACTGTACTTTATGGCTATTGCATTTTTATAACTGCTTTGAACTTTTTTTCTTTTTCTTTTAGGAGTCCCTTGAGTTTCTAATATGATACAGCTCCCAAAGTGTCTTTGCTTCCTAACAGTAGTTAAGAAGGTTAGTGCAAAGCCTACTAACCTGTACCTTCAGGTCATAGATATTTTTGGACAGGAGCGTGCAGATAACATTTTGTATCTTGCAATATTCTGTCATATTTAAAAACCTTTCTAGTGATAAGGGTATAATTATATGCCTGCTGCCTTTTTTTTTTTCCCTGCCTTTATTCCCTTCCCTCTGCTACCCTTCCCCCTGCCATTATTTCTCTTGCCTTTCCCATCAGCACTTATTATTCCTTATGTGAGCTATCGGACTGATATTCTGAACTAAGCTTGTTCAAATGTCTTGCCCACAAGTTAATTTTTTTGTATGTTGATAGTTATAGTGTGCTTGGTCCCTTGCTAAAATCAAATTATTGTAATCTGTTCAGCTCTAGAATTTATGTATCAGCCTGGAAAGATTAGTATTTTACAATCACTGTCCATAACTCTGCCCTTGACTATATTTAATAATCTCTCATTTTAGCAAACCATGCTATTACTCTTTCTGCTACTGTTTGTTCATACCAAATGTTGTGGGATCTGAGAGCAACTTCTCATGTAAATTGGGTTTTTGTTTACGCCCTGTCCCCAGACAAGAGGACGCTCAGCTTTCCCCCAGGTCTCACCATAGCACAATATCTTCTCTTTTCTTCTGGGAACATCTGCTATAGTCTAAGGTTTGTGTCTAGGCTCTGGCTCTCAAGCTGCTGAATCTGCCCTTTTTTAATTCACTCTCTTGACTCTTTTGACTCSAGCTAACTCAGCTGACCAGACCTGCAATCCCACCACTCTGATATATCCTTCCCCTGACTGTTAAAAGAAAAAAAGTATGAGTGTTTATGGGGGGAAGCTTTCAATGTTAAGTTCCATGGAAGTTGTTCTAGCATCAATTTKGGAAGTCTGGGTTTCCCTAATATTTCTGAATGGGAGGGAAATGGAAGCACAAAGGAAAAAATCACCTAGTGAGGATTGATACTATTTGCCTAAAGTACATTGTTTAGAGAAAAAAAAAAAGTCAAACAAGCAGGGAAGGTAAAAAAAAATCTCTCTGCAAATGCAATTTCTGTTTTCCCCTGCTCCAGGTTGCTTTGCAGATTCGTAATTCACTGCTTGCAAAGGTTCCTCAAACTTGTTCTACTGGTTCCCAGAAGCAGGCAGACTTGTTTCCCTAAGCTCTTCGGTATACCCAAGGCATTCACCTAATTTCTGAGCCTGCTCCCGCAGTGAATCCCGGGGCGCTGCGAGGATGGCGGCGGATCCCGGGGTGCTGCGGGGAAGACAGTGGAGTCCCATGGGCCKGGATGTGGAGCCGAGGGGCTGCGCTGAGGCTGGGGCAGCGCTCAGTGCACAGGCTCATTGCGATGGAGGAGCTGCTGGGCCAAGAACGCTGCCAGCCCTGCCAAGTCATGGCTTAATGTCAGCTTTTTTTTGCTCCCTTTTGGCCCAATCCATGAGAGCTCTGGCTCTCTGCCCCTGCCCACGCTGCTCCTCTGGGGCCTGCAAAGGGTCACCACAAGTGGCTTCAGCCCGTGTTTTTGCCTGTTAAGGTCCATGGGGGGGCTGTCTGTTGGGCTCCAGGGGTGGAAGCCGGGCTGAAGATGATAGCCTGAAGATCTCTTGGTGTAAGGAGAGGTGGGGACAGTGGCCTTTTTGCTTAGCAGCCTTGCCTAGGGGCAGGGAAGTGTGACTTGAKCCTGCGAGGGGCAGGGGCGAGGAGCCCCACAGCGGGGAGTTGTGTGCGGCTGGTCGGCATGATGGAGTTTCATCTGAAATGGGCCATCTCGGTGTAAAAGCAGGGAAATACAAAGGGATGGGGCAGTGGAGCGGCGGCGGGGGAACAAAAGGCAGCTAGGGCAGCGCTCCTGGAGACGGACGGGCCGCCGTTGGAGGCAGCGCCGCGCGCCTCCCGCCGAGCGTCCCGTAACGGACCCAACGGTCACTGCTGCGGCGGGGAGGGGGGAGGCGCCTCTCGGGGGCCGCTT